AAAGCCCTCCTATCAAACCACAGCTCAGGCCCTGGCCCAGAAGGGACATGGGAACCGGGGCAGCGGGTGATAAAGGCCGGATTGTAGCAGCCCACTGGATTGGAAATGACTTGGAGGCCTAATGAAACAGAACTTTGGCAGTAAAACAGAATGAAAGGAGTGAGACAATAAACGGCAAGACAAAGAAAGGGTGCAGAGTCGGTTGAGCTTAGCAAAATAAGCTCACTTTGTTGCTGGGAAAAGCCAAAGCCGATTAGGATAAACCAATGACTAAGCATAAGTCTTCCAAACTAATTACACAGCTCGCCATGTGAAGTATAATTGGAAGCCTCCATGGCTCTCACTGGACTCCTGTAAAGTAAGCATCACCTAGCGAGCAGAACTGGGCACTGGAGCTGCCCTGGCATCATTGGAGCAGCTAGGAAGTGGGAAACTTTCTAGTCTATCCAGGACAAGGCAGAGGGGTCATTCTGCTTCCAATCCTCTTTGATCCCAAATCCCTTGCAAGAATGTAAGAGAGTGGAACTTGAGGAGGGGGACAAAGAGGAGTGGAGAGAGGAAGAGGAGGAGGAGGAGGAGGAGGAGGAGGAGGAGGAGGAGGAGGAGGAAAAACCTATGTGTAGGGAGTGTTTCCCCAGGCCAGGGCACCTTGGTTAAGAGATGAGCTCTTTGGGGTGGCTCTGCTCTGGCATATCAGAGCATCAGTCATCTGCCAGGTTTTGGAATGGTCTATATACATCATTCCTGTATGTATGAAATCATGAACACAGATAATGTTCACCGAATAACCAAGGCAGTTAAATAAATTACTGGACATCAGCGTTTCTGACAAATGAATAAACCGTGCTCTCTGTGCGTGCTGTCTGCTGCCTGCCAGGGGAGAGGCAGGGTTCTATCAAGAGTGTGGAGGCTAGCTTATGCCACAAGTGCCCACCCAGGCTTCACCCAGCCTGGGCTGTGTGATCTTAGACAACTTCTTTTTCATCACCCACATAATGGAGATGCCATGTGTCTCACTTGACACCCTTGAAAGCACATTTTAAAATGCATTAAAAGCTTAGCACCAAAACATGTACCTGTAAAACAGAAACATCAACACACAGTAAAACTATCTTAAGATTAAGATCCGAACGTCCTGAGTTTCAATCATGTAGACCCAGTGCCTGGAAAAGGAAGACTGAAAGTAACTTACTCAGTTTTCCTGGTTCTTACTCATACGACGAAGATTCCAGATTATAAATAGTGCCCTTTTCCAAATAAAGACTGTAGTCTCAAATCAAGATGCACTGTCCCTGAATCACGAAGCCCAGAAATAAACTTTACTGTGTTGAAGATTGTTTTGCTTACTACATACCATGCTCACTACTGTGAGCAATGTATTCTTTTGTTAGTCTATAAATATACTGGGTTATAATCTATCTACTTACATCTAAACATTCTCTACAGGACTTTCACAGCTTAAAGACCAGCCTTAGGAATAATTCAGTTCAGGGGTCAACAAATCTGGTTCTCTGTTTGTTTTTATAAAGTTTTATTGGAACACAACCACAGCCATCTGTTTACATGCTGGCTGCAGATATTTTCACCCTACAATAGCAGAAGCTACAATAGAGACCATATGGGTTGCAAAGCAATTTACTAGCCTTTACAAATCTGTCAACAGCTTCCCTCTAAGGGAAACTGAGGCCAGAACCAAGGTCTGCCAAGGTGTTGCTGGAGGTCATCCCATAGTCAGGCCCAGCAAGGAAGCCTTAGAATACCTTCTACCTTGCCATTCTCCATGGAAGGCACCAGAAACAGCCACCTAGTGGGGAAGGACAGCCATCTAAGTTTGCTGAGTCCCATGCTTCATTTCATGACCACATTTTAATATAAACAAGTATCGGCATTTTTAATGGGGGGGGGGGGGGCATCTTCTGAGAGGAAAATGGGAAAAAGCAAAAAGGGTTGCTAAGCCTCCATTCTGAGCTATTTAAAGCTCTGTGTGTGTCATTCTGCACCCACTCCACTCACAGCAATGACATATTTAAACTCCCCTTAGCTCAGCCCCTTGACAGCAGCAGTCCCGTCCGTGTGGACTGCCACCTGAAATAAACAGCTGGAGCAGCTGCCACCTCAGGCAAGACAGGAAAAGGGAGAGGACAGCAAATGACGGTGAGTGAAACCTAAAACGTGGCGCACCCTGCATGGAGGCTGAGGTGAAAGTGCAGACACGGAAGCAGAGAAGCAGCAGGGTGTGCACTCTGGCTCAAACTTAAATCCCTATGGTCTCTACCGTCCTCGAAATCGAGGAGGCTCCAGGACATCTTTCTTCTCAGTGCAGACAGAAGGTGGGGGTGCCCAAGTCTGGGGCACTCTCCTGTGCATACTGCAGAGACACCAAGTCTTCCTCTCCTAGCAGCACTCAAATACGATCTCCCAGGGAAAAACTGAACAAGATAACAGAAAGGAATGGCTTGACCTGGTATTTGACAGTGAGCAGTATTCCTCTGAGGCAGCAAACTTATACCTCACTAATTTGCTTCAAGATAGCTCCAAACAACCTCACACAGGCATATATGTGCATGTGCATGCTGTGAGGATGCTTCATGTGGCAGTCTCCACAACCCCTGGCGTGTGTACACACACACACACACACACACACACACACACACACACACACACACACACACACCAGAATACACTTTAACAAAGGGTAAGTCAATGTGTCAATTTACCCACTTCCTTTTGCAACAGCTGGTTTTTACTCATGGTCCCCAAGGCCTACGAGAAGACTCTCCCTACTTTGATCATTCTGGATTCAAATGAACAATACCAGAATCCAGAGAGGCGGTGAACCCTGCCCAAGGGGCCACTAGACTCCAACAACCGACAAATAAGCTCTTCGGAAGGCAAGCCCAGATAAGACTCAGAGCACATGTATGAAAGGAGCTACTAGCTGGTGAGTAGAGTGTTACAGGTTTTGATACATTCCAAAGCCTCCTTCGTCCTTTAATAAAACACTCCCTAAGTTTATGCATCCTGACAGAATCCACAAAGATTACTGCACAATTAACTGGGCAGCATCCAACCCAGCAAGTGCCATGTTGGGGAAGATGGTCTGTGACTGCTGCCGAGACAAAGGGGCAAGTGTTCTCAAGGCGGTGCTGGAAGCCACCGTGGGCAAGGCCGAAGCTTGCTGACACTCTGAGTCACGACTGTAAGTGCTCAGGAGGAACAACTAAAGGAAGGAAGGAAGGAAGGAAGGAAGGAAGGAAGGAAGGAAGGAAGGAAGGAAGGAAGAGGGAGAGATCCGAGAGGAAAGAAAGCCGAGTTGGGGATGTGCAGAGATGCGCCGTCTGCGTCAAGTATGAGCCTGTCTGGAACAGAGTAACAGCTCATCCAGGCAGCAGCAACCTCCCTGACACCTGCAAATGGGCCTAGGAGATTCCAAGGCAGGTTGTGGCTCGAAAAAGAAATCCCGCCTCGTGTTTGCAAACACCACCCCTGGACTCAATTTGAAGGCGGAAAGAAAGCAAAGAGCCCCCACCCCCCAGAGTATGGTGCAAGAAGGACTTGTCTCATTTAATTACTTCCAATCCTTCTCCCGAGGCAGGGCGGGGCCAAGGATGGCTACTTCCCCTAGTGTCATAAACTGCTCTTGCAAAGAGAAGCCCTGTAACTCCAATGGCCATCAGCACACTTTGCTTTCCCTGTGAACTACCCAGAAGGAGTCAGCCCCCAGACCGGACGTTCAGAAGGACTATGAGGAAGGCCTCTTTCAAAACCCACCTGGGTGGGAAATTCCATGCCATGCCAAATGCACAGCTGAACTGGAAGATACTGTTTTCTCTTCATTGTGTGGTCTCCCATCCATGCAGAAGTTGATTAATACAAGAGATGGCGGGGGGGGGGGGGGGGGGGGTATCTTCAATTCAAAGCTAAATAAAGGTCATGGCCCTCATCTCAGGCAGTGGCTCATGAAGAGACACAAATGGTGACTGAGTCATGGCTGTCCACTGCCCTGGGCAAGCGAGCAAAAGCACAGAACCTTCAGGCCAACTAGTGGGTGGCAGTGCCCTTGTCTTGGACTGTGGCAAATAGGACAGCCATCGTGGGAGTAAATGAATGATAAAAGCTTTGAGTGGGCACGGCACCTTCCCAGGATACCACAGAGCTCTGCCACGTCAGCCTGTCAGCAGAGAAGGCATAGAACTATGATGGAAGGAGCTGGTCCCCTGCTTGGGCTCCCGTAACAACACCCACAATTACTCAAAGAAGCAGGAAGTGAAGGGCCAGCTCAGCCATTCACCTGTCAACCTCCTTAGAGCTATGGCTTCTGTGGGAGCTAGAGAAAGAGGACCACATAAAGGCCAGCCCAGGGCAGCATGACATCTGGGGAGATGGCCACCTTCAGGAAGAACCCACTCATACGCCTCTTTCACCAACTAGAAAGCAGCTGACAAAGCCAACACCCACAGATGTTAATCTCATATGTCTATTTAACCCCCCACACACACCTTCTCCTCACCCTCCATTTCCTGACTGAGGACTCCTAGCCCTAACAGCATACCTCAGGATGTCATTTTGCTTGTCTCGTGGGCATTCAGATCAGAATGATGACGGGTACAGCCAACATCTTTCCTAAGTCTCCTTGGGCACTTAACAGGGGGAACATTCTGCGGCCAAGGGCCCCAGACATCCTCATTTCTGAATGTCATCTCCCAGAAATACAAGGTGTATGGAATCCCAGAACTGGCTCACAGGGCTTTACCTCTCACAGCTTCTGTGGGCGCCTGTGCCCTGTGAGTCACAACCCCACATCCCTTCCCAGTCCTGGCTCCATGCGGCTGGCAAATGACAGCCAAACAGTACTGAAAGGCCACTCTGTGTGTTCCTGCAGGCGCACAAGGTTCCACGCCAACCAAAGCCAGACTCTCCCATTGCAGCGTCCACAGTTTCATGTAAATGGCAACAGGGAAGTTCAAGGACGACTACTGTCCATCCGGGGCAGCACTTACCTTGCCAAACTGCTCGAAATACTGCTTCACATCTTCCACAACAGTGTTCGCAGACAATCCTCCTACAAATATTTTCTTTGTTCTTGTGACCATCTGCAAGGGATGACAAGAGGAGGGCACAGGTTAACCGGGTTATCAGAAGCAGTGTTTGGTAAGACACTTCAACAAGCCTTGCTCCAATATTCTTCCAGGAAGGCGGTTTGGATCCTGGGCTAGCATCATGGACCAGACCATTAGATAGTTAAGGATGCTGGAGTCAGCTATTCCGAATTATCTTAGGCATTCAGCCTACCAGAGCAGACTGGAACTTCTTGACAGCAGAGGGGGCCCCTAGGACCTCTGTGGCCACAAAACATGGCTTCATTAGCATATCGAGAAAAATCCCACAGCAGGCTATTTTAAAATCAAAGAGACACAAACAAAACACAGCTAGATGCATAAAGACGATGCTCAGATAGTAGCCAAAACCTTGTCAATTAAGACCGCACGCCCAAGACGATATGGGCAGCACAACTGCTCTTGATGGGTTTTTTAAAGAAGTTGGATGGGTGGGGAAAGGGGGCGGGACCGGCAAGAGTTGTGGGAGGGGGTATGAACATGATCAAAGCATGTTGCACAGAGTTCTCAAGGAACTAATAAACTGGTTTTTAATTGAATACATAAGGACGAGGGATAGCTCTTGCTTAAAATGCTCAAGGCCTTGGCTCAATCCCCCTTACTTAAAAAAACAACTGTACAGACAATCCAAAGGAGGTACGTGCTTCCGAGGCTCAGCTGTTCTCAAGCTGGCCTAGGCCTGCAGCTAAGACAGGTGCTGACTTCGCACTCAGGGACCACCCTGAACTCTGCCCTGAGCACCTTCAACGCCCTCTGGACTGCCTGCAGTTCAACTTGATCAACCCTACGCCAGCCCCACTAACCTCCAGGTTTCCACACCTCTGTTCTCACAGGACTTTCTCCCTGGAATGCCTCTCTACTCCCAGACCTTCCCCATGGCGAGCTGCAACCATCTTCCAAGTTTCCATGGCCTTCATCTAACTCCCAAATATCCATGTGCTATCCCAGCCAGCCTGACGCTAATCTCACCTCCTCTGAAGTCACCTGACACTGCGTCCATACACAGCTTATACACACACACACACACACACACACACACACACACACACACACACACACCCCTCTGATTCATGCTAAATCACTTTCTCCTTCAAATGTCCAGGCTCTGACTCTGTAGGACTTCTACAACACCAACAATGGGGCTAGGCAAACGGAAGCTAACACTGAACTCCAATGCGTGCAAAAATAAGCAAATATGGCCCATGTTCTAGAATCCGAGCAGCTCCAAAGGAAGGGGAAAAGGAAGCCATGTCACACAAACTGCTTAGGGCAAGGACCAAAAGTCCTATAAGAGGAATAAACAATCGAGGAGAAGACTGAATTTGGAAAATGTCTTAGTAGGGGTCTTGATGTCAAAATTGAAAACTGAAAGGCAGGTACACAACTCTGAGCCCAGCACTCAGGAGGGCAGAGTTTGAGACGGTCGGGATCCTGTTTCGAAAGGAAAAAATAAAATAAAATAATTGAAGATAAAAATCTAACAAAGAGTAAGAAAATTCAGTAGGCACCAAGTTTTTTTATTATTATTATTTTAAGTCATCTATGCTATTACTGCTGGATGTAGGATACAGGACGGGTACCACACCTTACTGGATAGCGATCACACCAGGACTCTTAAAATATTTGGAAAGTGAATGAATGAACCGACACACCCACAGCACATCACCCGGTTGTCATGTTGCACATCCAGGGCACACTGCTGACACGTTTGAGTAGAAAAGATACCAGGAACCCAACTCCACTGTTTCATTACATGTAACTCTAGATAGGACTCACTCTCCTGGATTTGGAGTCTCTCCTCTACTCCACAAGGTACTGTGCCAGGTCCACAAAGTCCCCTCTGCCACCCATGCCACCCAAGCCTCATGAGTCCGAGACTGGGTTGGATGAGTCAGAAAGAGACATCCAGACTTTAGGAAGCTTAGGCTTTAGTAGGCAGCTCTCAGTGGGCACACGAGCCACGTGGCCAATGGCTGATCCTAAACCAGAGCACATGAAGGGCTTTCTGCACTACTTCAAGTGGATACTGTGAGCCTGCCAGCTGCTTCCTCCTGTTGCATGGGAGTCTAAAGCTGTGGTTTACTGGTTTTCTCTTCCCCATGGCGAAGGCTAAGGATGAGACGGCGAGGCACATGAGGACACTCTCGAAAAGATCCTGCCGGGATCCACAACACAGTGCCCACCTCCCAGGCTCCCTAGATGAGCTGGCAGCAACCTCTTCTTGCTCCTGACATTCCTCTCCCTTCTCACTTTCTGATAGACTAAGATCTCCTTGACGGTCAAACTCTATCAAAGCCCCATAAAGGTTCATCTTGCCTGTGAACTCGATTGGATGGAGAGAGTCGAAGACATCGGGAAAGTACACCTCTGAGTGTGTCTGTGAGAGCACTGTGAGTACCCACTGGCAGGTACTAACCAGCAACTAAGGGGGAACCACATGCCCAAGGCCAGGGGCCCAGGGAACCAGAAGTAGGAAGAGCAGCGAACCGGGCTCATGTGTTTATTTTCACACTCACTCACTCTCCTACACTGATTCCAGGTCTCCATACTAGAAGTTGTTCCCTCCACTAAACTGAACTGAAACCTCAAGCCAAAAGTAAACCCCTGCTCCCTGAAGCTGCATTCAGTCATAGCAATGAGCAAAGCTAACTAATATGGGCCGTCTTCAGACTTCAATCTCTTCCTATACCTACTAATGGTCAAATCCTACTAACCTAACTTCCCTTATGTATTCACTCAACAGACCCAGTAAGTGCTAGGCACAGGAGCACGCACCCTAAGAGAACGTGGAATTCAATCCACTATAAAATGGAGATAGAACAATTAGCTTAGCACACAAGCTCCCGTGAGGCCTAAGTTAAATACCATATGCCAAAGAGTCTAGCAGGGCACATTGAAGACGACGGCTTAGTGGTCACTAAAGCTGAGCCCAGAGTTAATTACTGAATCCATCCTTTATACTTAAAATAAATGGACAGCAGAAAAATATTTTATCCAAATAGCTCTAGAGGAAATCAACTCCTATCACCCCATCCTAAATCTCAGTCATTTCAAAAACACTTTTTCAATTCTATGTAATACCTGATAATCCTATGCTTTAATTTTGCACACACACACCCAACTCCAACTAAGTAATTAAACCTGTAAAGAAATGTTAACATGGCCTCAGACGTCCTGGTGCAGACCTCAGAGCACCTCTGGTGGGACCTTCCATGGAAGACACCCTGTGGCCTGCTCACTGCTCAGAGTCGGGCGACACAGAGCTGAAGCCCTACCTAGATTCCAAACATTCCTGGGAACCCAAAGAAGAAAAACGATCGCCCTGTCTTCATCTCAACTCCTGAAGCTCAGCCACCGGTTAAATGAAAAGATCTCTTCAGACCCGTTCCACTGTTGCCTGGCAGCTGTGAGCATGCCCAGACAGAGGCCTAAACATGGAGACAAGCAGTCAACTATAAATCTACACAGTCTCCCCACAAAGGCCTTTAAAACCTTCCCCTTTGGGGAAAGATGAGAAAACCCAGGCTCTGGACAATGCACCAAAGCATCGGAGTTACTAAAACATCCTTTCTAGGATCCGGCTCAGATAAAGTGATGGCTCTCACTCCTCAGCAAACACTAAAGAGAAACTGGTTTCATCAGAACCTTCCAGACATGAAAAAGCCAGAGGGAAAACGTCAGCTTGGTTAGCTGCTTTAGGAGAGGGGCGCACGGCCAGGGGGGCAGGGGGCTATGCATCATGACCTCTCCCACCAGAGCCTCTGGGATGGGAGGACGGGCAATGGGGTGATCTACTTGGGTAATCTTGACACCATTACCACCAAACGGACTGGAGACTGCTCTGTGATTTGCATTCTGGTGAGGGATGCAGGAGGCAGAGGACCCGCAATCACAGATTCTTCCCTTTCCCTTCCATCTCCATGGCTACTAAGGAGGGCAGGATGCAGAGAGGGCTGGGATGCTGTGCTCAGGCTCCCCGTGGAACTACACAGGAGCCTTCACAGTCAAGTAAACATCATGTAAGGTTTGTGTGTAGATGTTAAGTGTGCACAGGTGTGCTCATGCGTAATAAATCACGCTGGTGTGTGCTCAGGGTAACTCTAGTCCATCCTGAGCCCTGGCTTCTACTTCTTCAAAACTATCCAGTAGCCCTCCACACTTTCACCTTCTCCTGACCTTGGAAGAGGTGACTAGGAGAAAGTATGCACTGGCCTCACGCTCTATGCTCATCTGAGTTATGAGAAATCCTTTCTACCTGGTGAAGGAATCACTGGTGTCGTCTTCCTGAACCTTGACATCAGCAGGCTCCACACATGGAGTCTTGAACACTGGCCACTGCACACCAAAATGATCAGGGGCCACACTTGCCTCCCACAGTGCACTGAAATTGAAAAGCCACAGAGAGCTCAGTCCAAAACCCCCCAGGTAATTAACCTTAGACTTCCCTTGGTTTGGGGGTTTTGGTGGAGGCTGCAGGAAATCTTCACATTGGAGTGCTTTACACTACTGGGGATGCAAGAGACCTATCCAAGAGCCCTGTGAACACAGGATTACAAGGACTACAAGGCTTCCCAAGGTGTCTCTCCCTTTATGGCTTAGGGTGTTCCTCTGAGAAGCGGTGTATGGGTGGGTAGGGGTGTGTGTGTGTGTGTGTGTGTGTGTGTGTGTGTGTGTGCGCGCGTGTGCGCGTGTGTGTGATCTCCAGCTTGTGTGCACATGGGGAAGCAGGACATGGTCAGGTTCTCAAGGCCCCGCTGTGAAGTTTTGCATCTACACCCATAATTTAACTAAACAACCAAAGCTCTCCACACACCCCTTGGCGCTACAAAAGGCCCAGCATGCATGCCAGTTCTGAAAATTGCTGTTTACACATGGCCTTAGCCAGCTGCTAACTACAGCTGCAAAGACATCCCACCTTCCTGCCTCAAACTAGATAGCTGGTATGCTGGGTGGGGAGGATTTTGTTGCAGATTTTT